TGTTATGTTGATACGAGAAGTAAGAGCACATTTCATACAGTTTATTTGTCGCAATAAATGGAATCCATTTGTTGGATTCGGATTAAAATGACATAAAATCCGTTGCATGCACTGTGAAGCAGCATCGGTTCGAATACCCAAACAATAAGCTCGAAGCATGAATAAAAGATCCATACATAAGAAGTCAATATAAAAGACAAGAAAAAGACAAATTATTTTATACGCATTCACATCGAATTCAATTTTCGTTCCGTGCATTTTCCATTAGCATTTTAATTAATTTGCTCAATATTCTGTGAGCTGACATAAGTAGATGAATGAGCACGCGTTCATTTCATATATGGAGGTCGGCTTAACACTACAGTTTTCGAACATTGAATGTTACCGCTGAATTGTAATTGTTGTTAGCACGCGAATACTTTCGAAATGAACATATTTTTGCCATTTTTCTTCACTTTCCATTGGACGATGAGATAAGAATGTCGCATTGTCGGTTTGAAAATGTCAAATTGAATGATGATAAGGCATGGATTTAGATACAAAAAGTGTTACAGTTTCAATGATTACATTTACTGGATTATTTTCGTCCAAAAAATTTGGCATAATGAATATTCGCTCAAATGTCATTCAAAACAAAATGAATACAGATTGAAAAGAAGAAAAACGAATTTTCATTTGAAGAAACTTCAGCTTCAGCTTATCGAAAAACGAATCAGTAGCTCGATTTACAGAAATCGCTTTGACAAAAAGTAGACGCTGCCAGTGCCTGTAAGTTCACACTGTGAACGAATGATGATTGAATGGTCATTAGCATTAATTAAAAGTATTTAATAACGATAAGCAAGCATGTGCAATGTGCATTTCAACCACCGTGCAACGACGGATTTGCCAACATTGATGATGGAAAGAAGGAACATGTGGGATATTGTGTTTTGTTTTAAAATCAATGGGTGTGTGTGTGAAGATATAGACAAAAGTGTTCGTTCGTTCGTTTAAGAGAGTTGTTTTTTTGTATTTTACACATATTTCACGCGTTATGGTTAATGCGAACAAGCGGATAATGTGAACGATTAAATGATAACGGTGAAGGTACAGTTCCGAGTTCTTGCAAAGCAATTGGTCCAACAAATCGATTCGAGTATAGCTATAGATGGACCAGGTAATGAACAGAAAACCAAATGCAATTATTGAAACCTGACCATTTGTGTAAAAATGATTGCACTAAAACCATGGTATTATATTTTTGAATTGGCCATAGCTGTTCATACACCATCGACATCATTATTATCATCATCATCATCATCGTTGGTTTTGTGTCAGAGCTGCCACACAATCGAATATAATGGCAATGGAGAATATGCCGATGTAGCAAAGAGTGTAACTTTTTATGAATGCAATCACATATTCATGCATACGAAATGGGGGCTTTTGATGGGGAAATGTGCATTGAAAATGCCGCCGCACACAGTATGTTGATGTTAGCCTATATCGATGTACCATTCACCTGAAATAGTAATTGAAGCTCATGCATCATAATTGATAGCAATTTTTTCCGAAGATAAATTCGAAATACATCATCATCGAAATTGTTTTTCGGCTTTCATTGATATTATATCGAGTTCAACTCTCAAATAGACGAATCGAATACACTTTGGATACACTAGAAAATTAAATCAATGCAATATGTACGCAGCAAATGTGTTTGGAATGAATACAGTAATGAAAATTGATGCGTCGTTCACATGCAAATGGAGGGTCAAATGGATTCGCTTTGGCTCCAGTTTCGATTCAATGTTGAGGAGCATTTTGTGTGCGGAGCATTTTTATAAGAGCATCTTAAGAGAGAGAGGGAGTGAAATCAATAATGCACTTCAAACATTCTAGCATTCATTGAACACATTAAATTGGCTCGTAATAAATCGACAGACACCGTGTGCGCCCATCACTTCGATAAAGTTTTCATATCCTCAAATTCGAGTCTGTTGAATGTGAAGAAGAATGAATGTGAAGTATAAAACATATTTCCAATATTTTGCATCCAATGGTTGGGCATATGCGCTCATTTCATTTGATCGATGCGGAGGTTTTTACATTTGATATTGTGTGTTCAAGCCTTTGGCGCGTTGGCGATGTACTTGCTTGCCATCAATTTTGTAAGTTAGCACTTCATGACACCTTAAGTGCTTTTACCATCTCCAACTATAGGCGGCACCGAGAGCGCGCGCGCACTCGCGCCCTTTATATTGAGAGAAACCACAAAAGTTTACTCAATACTTGTGGTGTTCACAATTCTTGTCTTTTCCTCATTGTTTACATCTTATTTTCTTAAAAAACCACATACAATACACCCATCATGCTCAATATATCATTGAATACATCGATATTACGACACTATTTCTATTTAGAGTGGCAAACGATTCTCATTTTTTTTAAATATTGTTTGCATTGGAATTCTATCGATTTTGGCGTTCAAATTCAATCATAAAGTTAAATATCGAATTTGAATCGCTCATTTCACCGATATTGAAAATTGTTCAAATCTCTTCGAAGTCTCTTGAAAAAGTATTTACATAATTTTCTGTTTGAGATAGTTTAAGAAACGAGTCGCATGATCCATACATAATCGTCACATGTATCGATTTTATTAGAATCTGACTTCTCTCTCTCTCTCTCTCTCTCACACATACACACACACTATGAAACTCATATTAGATTCAAGTGTATAGTTTTTAGCAACATATCAAGTTTTTCTCATTTTGAAGACGTTGCCTCGAATAGAAAATGTGTGTTGTTATTGTTCTTGTTAGCCAGATTATGTGTAATCGTGACTTAATTCGATGGCTCTTGACAGCGCATCAAAAGCGATTAGAAAATGTGTGTGTATTTTTTTTTTAAATGAAAATTTTAATGCAATATACAGGCACTTGATCATCAAGTTGAAAGCAGTTGCCCCATTCCATTTGTTTTTAATTTGTCTGTTCTTGTTTTGTTGTTTTGTTTCAAATGGATTTATGTCAATATACAACAGCGCTAGCAAAATGTACTTTCGATTTTGTTTGTTCAAAATGCCTGGTCATTGCACCAAAACGATATTGTACTTGTATTCATTGTTGCTGGTCTTTTTTCCTTCGTTTATTTCTCGATGGTTGTGTTGTTGATGTGTATCCCTGAGCTGCCTTCAACTCGTTTCGCATGTGTCTTTGTGTGCAATTCGATATTTGTAAATTATATTCAAGAGCGAAGCAGTAACTACAATTAAACCGGTGAATTTGAACGAAATGTAGAAATAACAAGCTAAAGGGGCTAACAATATGCCTGAAAGCTTGTCTAAACATTCAAAACGATCGACAGCACTGTGTGTACATATGCAAGATGAGAATTTTGGTTTTCATTTCATGTTCAATACACTCGAGAAATCGATTTTGGTTTTTACTTTTGATACGAAATTCTAGTGCTTGATTACATTGATTGAACACACATCGAAGACGTTATAGACACATTGCGATTATATTTCAACATATTTACGATGACCTTTTTTTGTGTATATTCTCTCTCTCTCTCTCTGTGAGTGCTTGTACAAGTACACCACCCTACGCATATGCAATGGAAATCATTTTTATCTCAATGAACGATAAACCGAATGTACATAACTCCCTCGTATGAATGACCCGAAATCCATTACGGATACCCAAGCAACGATTCGTTTCGCTGATTTTTTCATTTGCAATTTCCTGTGGCTCTCAGGCCTCTCAAAATGTATTTCCACCGAAAAACGACTTAAATTCACCGTAAAAATATGTGCATTCATTTTTTTTCCCTCGAACCACAGACCCATATCGTTCGATAAGATTTTCCTTATGCCCATGACTGAACATCGCTTCGATTAATGAAACAGACATGTCGTTGGCGTTGTAGTTGTCTCGCTCATTAAAAACGCAAAGGCGGTATGCTACATCAACCAATGTGTATTTACGAGAGATTATTTAAAACTTAGTCGGATTTGTTAGAGAAAAAGATTGCATCAAAATAGAATAAAGTTCTTATTTGGTTAGTGTCATCGAAGTCGAAGATAAAATCAGCGATTTGAATCGTTATTTTGCGACGGATCCGGTGAAATTTGTTTATATTTTGCCGCTTTTCATAAGCTCTCTCTCTCTCTCTCTCGCAAGAAATAAACAAAGTAAGAAGACTTTCCAGAGCGCAGCAAACCTCTCTTTTGAATTAGATGTATACTGTGGGTGTACGTAAAATGGTACAATTGAAATTTAACACGATGACATTTCCATTGTGAAACTTTCGATTCTTTCTTCCTTCTTTTGTCGCATGTCTTAATCATCATTCAAATGGGCTTCAAATGAGAACTAATCAACAACAATCGCGCTAAATGACATCAAAAAAGAAAAGAAAGCAAACAATCGGAGATGAAGAAAGTTAAACGTTTGGAAGATAGAAGCTATAATCAAATTGTCTTCGATCATGATTACGTTTCTCGTTGAACTTTTCTTCAGACAATTTCCTCATTGGAATTGAAAAATAGATAAATGTGATGGAGATGGCAAATAATGAAAGAGAGGCAGTGAATTTGAAAATTAATGTTCAGTGTGCGAAGCGTAGGAAGGTGCGTCGTTAGCATTGCACATAATTATGCATACACTGAGATAATTACCCGTCCATCAATCCGTAGCGCATTACCGTACACAGTGAATATGTGTGGCAATCATTTACAGAATGAGACGACAAGCACACACTCATTCTATCTTCACGCCAATCGTTTTGTTCTGAATACGATGATGTCAATCAATTCTCTTGTTTTGTGATTTTCAATTTCGCGAACACTCGCACAAGCACTTGACCATCAATGTCTCTTTCCTCTCTTTCTCTTTTATTATTTTATCATATGATCGAGTTGCGAATATATTAAATGATACCATCAAATACATTTTAAATGGAATTTCAATTTCAATGACACTAATTTGCCATGTTTTTTTTTTCATTTCCAGAACACGAGCCCACTATGGGAAGATTTTATGGCCAAAGCGAATAAGCTGCATGTATGTTTACGGTAAGTATCAACCACCACCACCATCACTACACTAATGGAATTTTATCGATTTCTCTTTATCACAAAAAGTAACATACTCAATTAATGTAGAAATATTCAAATGATTGGCGCATATACGCTTTTAATTTCATTCAATTTGTTGGTTGACGCGAACGCGCAAGCGCCTATTATGTGCGCATTGGTTTTATTGGTCGCAATAAATGCAATAAAAACTGAGCGAACGACAACAAAAAAAAAATATGAAGTGATAAAAACAACAGAGACAAATGCAAGCAAGCGATTAGGTGGAAATGATAGGAGAAGCACTTTTGCGGACCGACCAATATATTTAATTGAAAAGAGCATGTAAATGACACCCATAAATGAATAAATAGATCGCTATGGGCGCGAGCGCTTTCGGGAAATGTGACATCAAATGGAGTCGAAGAAAAAAAATGTAAAACGCATGTAGAACAACATCGTTAAAATTTTACTCATCGGTTCGTGTGTGTGTGTGTTTATTTTTTGCGCGTAGAGTCGTTTGAATTCACAAGAAAACATTATCAACGCCATAAACATAGCCACTGTCACGCGCTCGCTATTTACAAGCATCAATAGTTTTCGATGAAATATTTTGAATTGCTCTCGTGTCCCATTCAATATATTCTAAACCGGACATAATTTAACATCGAACATGGTGTTTAATTAGTATTTGAAATATAACGCTCAAATATACTCCACATGTGAATGACTCAAATACAAAACACAACCAATGAAAAATGGAACAATTTAGCGGCGTACACACATAACATAGCATTTGGAAGAGAGGGAGTCACACTAAAAAGTAGCTATAAATTAAGTAATACACACAGCACACGAGAAAAGGAACAAAAAAGAACCTATTTATAAGGTGTGTTTTTAGGCAATTTTTGTTTGGGTTGATTGCTGTACATATTGCTTCTGTTTTCTGTATTGTGTTATTGTTATCGTTGGCGTAAACGCCAAACACACGAAGAAAAAAAAATATTCACAAACTGAACGGTACAACTATCGTTTGAAGCGCTCAAGTCCCATAAAAATATTTGTAAGCAATTCCATCAGTGTCGTTTATACATATACATATATATATATATTTTGAATAGATTGATTGCATGTTCGTAAATCGTAAATTTTGACCGAATTTTGTTTTTCGGTTCTTCCGTTTCGATTGTATGCTGACGATTTGTTTGGTCGTTATTGCTACTCTATGTATGTGATTAGGCCACGATGCGCGCGTACATTGACTTTTTACGATTATGGATTTACTGTCACCGTGAAAGAGGACAAATTGAATGTGACTGCAAAGCAATAATTCGCAGCATGCGTACAACTATGTTTCGAAAAGAATTAAAAATAACATCAATCAGCATGGTGTGTGTGTGCGCTCAAAATTTCGACCGCAATGCATCTTGCACTGCCATCATCTCGCATTAAATTAAAACGAAAAATTCGTGTGGCCGAATGAATGAAAACGTATTAAATCTCGCTGGCTCGAAAATCTCTGAAATGTTCACAACCTCACGAAATTATATACAAACACACATCTCGAACTCATTTTCTTAAAAACACATTCGTTTTTCATTCGTAACACATATATATCGAATTAATGCGATTATAGCGCGTAATTCACTTTCCATTTCATTCAGAAGCGCTTTTGTTGGATTTCAATAGTCCAAAAATACTCGGTCCAAAATCGCTTGAAACTGAAAGCCATGCTGTCGATTTTGAATGCCATCAAGAAAACAAATAAATATTCAAAGTGCCACACTCATCAAAACCAAATGGCATCCAAATAAAGCTTATACTTTGGATAAACAAAAATCGAAAACCACAACGATGAATCGAAATTGAACGCAATGAGAATTTTTTAAAGGTCCTAAGAATAGAATTTAAAGAAACAAAAACACATGAATAGAACGATGCATAATTATGAGCTGTAGTCTTTTTTTGTAAAAACGATTAGCTAAGCGGAAATTGACCCAGTTGCTGGCGACTTCTCATTTTCACTGTACGCTTTGTAACGACTCTGTACAAGTTTTAAATGAAAATAAAATCGTTTGTGCGAACTAACAAATATGTCATTTCTCCGTTTCGTCTTTACTGCCATTTGTGATGAGTGAGCTCTCGAGTTTTACATTAAATCACTACCAATACCATTTCGTAATACAGCCGCAAAACTTTAGACACTTTGACTTCTGATTCAACGCAAATGTTCATACTTTTCACCCACTTGTACAGACTTTATTTGTTTTACATTGGTTTGATGAATTTTCACATTTGAATAGTGAACGGGCAGTGATGAGATAAACGAACAATAGAATTTCTGATAAATTTTCGTCTGAAATTGTAAAAAAAAAACAATTTACATATAATACGATGCGATCAAATGTCATGCATTTTTTTTTATTTTCCATTTAAAATTCCAAATGCAAAAGCAAAACGATTTGAAATAGACATGCACAGCTAATACAACAACAAATAAATTTGCATATCCGATTACACTTAACCTTGAAAATTGCAATTGAAACAAATATACCGAATCACACAAATTCAAAATGCAATGAGCTTCAAGTGTAGTACTTGTGTTCGGAGAAATGAAGAAAGAAGCGAACAAAAATTGTTAAAACAAAATGAAACGAAACAAAACGTAAAAAAGGCGAACAAAAAAGCAGTGCACACGACTAAATAAACGGATACTGATAATGATAATGATAAATGGTCAAAGACAACCACACTCTGTGTGAATGAAGAAGAAGAAGAAAAAAACAATGAACGTAATCAAAGTGTCGTTGTATGACGCAAACAGAATAGTCAATAGTTTGCCATGAGTTTTGCGGCTAACGTTGATCTTCGTTCCTATTTATTCAATCATATTCGCATTGTTTCTTATTGGGTAATTGCACATTGGCCTTTTTTTTTTTTTTTTTTTTAAGACGATCTCATTGAGTTCGTTGTTTTTGTTCTTGATGAAACTTGATCTTAAATTCTAATAATTGAGATCGGTCAGTGGATTTGTTTTTGATTTGACCGGGTTCAAGCACACATGTCCCATATTTTGCATTCGTGATTTTAGCATCACTAAATCGGAAGGGAAATAAGGAATCTGATAACCATCAATGCGTAACAAAATGATTTTTATTTTAGTTTGATTTCCTGTGCTTCTTTCATCTTCACACATTCTCTCTCGCTCTCTTCCTCTATGCTCTTTGTTTGTTATGTTTGTTTTTTTTAGTCATGAAAGCGTTCCTTTGATCTCATCCTATCACCGTATCGTATCGTTGAAAATAAACAATTCAATTGGGAGAAAGTGCGGTTATGTATGTATTGTTGCCGTGTACCGTATTTGTGTGCTGTGAATCGCTGTCGCCTGAAGAATTGAAAGTAAAATTGAAAATGCCAGCAAATCGTGGAAATTCGAAAACAAGGCAAGCCAAATCAACCGATTCAAAATCGAATACGGATAATTCAGCAGTTTTATCCGAACTCAACGAAATAAAAGGCATGATTTCGAAATTACAAGGCAAAACCGAAGATATTCACGAAGACACACAATTTATCGCAAAAAAGTCAATTGATCGCAATGTCACAGGGCAAAAGAAAACTGTTTCGAGCAATATTTCGTTGACCAACACACCGAAAACATCGTTTATGCATGGACCACCGTCATCTTATGCAAATGCTCTTCGTGATAATGCACCGGTAAAATCCGCCAAACGACCGCGTACCGAAGAAATATCGAAATCGTTTCCACCGTCAATGAAATCTTCGAAAATTGATGCACCGAAACCACGAATGGGCACAAAGTCGACAACAACGCGCCTGAATGTTGTACATAAACCGACACGTGAAGAAAAACCGATATTTAAAAAGGCAATTTGGATATCTGGATTCGATCCAATGACAACGGAACAGGAAATCATGGATTACATCGTCGAAGACACACCGGTTAAAAATAAAGAAAAGTTCCGCGTGCATAAACTCGTTAAAAAAGGCCAAGATGTAAGTACATTGAAATTTGTGTCATTTAAAATCGAGGTAAATGAAGATGTTTTCAACGTATTGATTGAACCGGAGGCCTGGGAATCCGATGTTTTTGTGAGAGAATTTGTTCAGAACACCACCATGGGCGATTTTCTATACCCGGCACTCAACGCGAAAAACGGCCACACATCAACGGCATCCGATCAAATGGATATAGTCGATTTGAATACACAAAGCAACACACAAACGAAACAAATGGAATCGCCATCGAAAAAATCACCGGAAGCATCGAACAAAACACTGTCAAAGGCATAATACCATCGCATCAGCAAAATGAACACTCGTACAAAATAAACAAATCAAATCAAACCAAATTGAATGTGTACATTCAAAACACACATTCTATTCGCGACAAAGTCGACGAGATACGATTAGCAACAAAATCGTGTCCTTTTCAAATTATTTCATTTTTCGAAACGTGGCTATTTGAAAGTATCAAAGACATTGAACATTTCGGGAAACGTTACAACGTGTATCGTGGTGATCGTAATGAACTCACTAGTGACAGGACAGACGGTGGTGGTGTACTGATTGCTGTTGAATGTAAGTTGAACAGTGAGCGAGTCATTCTATCGGAGAACAGTGGCCTTGAGCATGTGTGCGTGAAAATTTCGTTCGATTCGTGCAATATTTATGTATTTGCGGTGTACATTCGATCGGTGCATGAAACATCAAAATTCTTGGAATTCGCTGAGATCGTCAAGCTGATCTCATACAATGATAATGACATTGTTATTGTATGTGGTGATTTTAATCAGCCAGGTGTCAAATGGATCAAAGCCGATGATGGTGACTATTACTTGCCAATGAATGTATCGACAGAAGGAGGCATTGCTGTTTTCGACACAATGTTCGATTGTGGTTTTCACCAATTGTCAAATATCGTGAATCCAGCCGGAAATGTTTTGGATCTTGTATTCACAAACAAGTTCTACGAAATGTCGTTGATTGAATCAACAAGACCATTAGTTAAATCCGACATTTGGCACAAAGCAATCGAAATAGAAGTGACAATTGATGGAAATGAACACACAACACCGCAGTCATCGGAAATATATACATACAACTCGGCTGATTTCGATGCGATGAATGAATTTTTCATTGCGAATGACATTTTGTTGGGAATAAATCGAATTGATGACCTCGAGAATGCATTCCAATCATTTGGCAATGTTCTACACGAGGCAATAGACTCATTTATTCCGAAAATCACCGTACAAAAAAGCACCGATCCACCATGGTACACGAAACAATTGAAGCACATGAAAAATGTCAGGAGAAAAGCATACAAACGTGCAAGAGAGACTGGTAATTTTGTCGAATACAATGACATCACGGATTCTTTCATGCAATTGCAGAGCCAGGTATTCAGGTCATACATCAGCCGCATACAATCGCAAATCCGATCAAACCCAAAACATTTTTGGCGATTTGTGAATGACAGAAGAAAACGAAGCGATATTCCTGCTATTGTTGAATACAACAATGAAACAGCCAACAACGAAACGTCGATAGCGGAATTATTCGCTGATTTTTTCGAAAGTCAATACACACAGAGCGATAATATCGATTTGGATCAATTGCTGAGTGAATGCGGAGAAATATCGTTTGACATTGACATCAGTGAAGCCGATGTGTTAAAAGCACTACAATCGATCAATGTGAATAAGGGAGCCGGTCCAGATGGTGTATCACCAAAACTCCTGAAAAACTGCGCACACACACTGTCAAGGCCATTAACAGTGCTATTTAGAAAGTCATTGCAACAAGGATGTGTTCCAGATGCATTGAAAAAGTCCAGAATAGTGCCAATATTCAAATCGGGAAAAAAGAGCAGTGCATCAAACTATAGGCCAGTTGTGATTATTCCAACAATCGCAAAAATATTTGAAATTGTGGTCTACGGCAAAATCGAAACATTTATAAATGGAAAGATCAGCCACAATCAACATGGTTTCGTGAAGAATCGATCAACTGCGACAAATTTACTGCAAATGGTGAATTTTACGATGGACTCGATGATCAACAAATGTCAAACGGATGTGTTGTACACCGATTTCGCAAAGGCTTTTGATCGTGTCAGTCACATGAGATTGCTTCAGAAGTTGGTGAGATTTGGATTCGGCCGCCAAATTGTCAAATGGTTCCATGGTTATTTGACATCACGATCGCAGTTTGTTGGAATTGGTGAAAAAAAGTCAAGGACTTTCATTGTACCATCGGGAGTACCCGCGGGAAGTATTTTGGGACCATGTCTCTTTATTATTTTCATAAACGACATTGTTGCAACCGTGTCAAATGCACTTGTTTTATTATTTGCAGATGATCTGAAATTGATCCGCACTATACATTCGCCCATTGATGCCATCATTTTTCAAAGGGCCATTGATCAATTGAGCGACTGGTGTAACGAAAACAACCTGCATTTGAATCTGAAGAAGTGCTACGTAATGACGTATGCAAAGGGTGCAAACGTAGTCAACTACGACTATACGATCGACAACGGCCATCATACGTTTGAACGGACCAAAATGCACAAGGATCTTGGCATTATTTTCGACACAAAACTGACATTCACAGATCACATCGATGCGATTACAGCCAGTGCACATGCGGCAATGGGTTTCATCAAACGAACATTAAAAAATAAGTACACGATAGAATCTGCAAAAATATTATATTGTGCACTAGTTAGGTCAAAATTGGAATACGCGAGTATTGTATGGCTTCCATACCATCGTATCCACTCCGATAGAATAGAATCAATTCAGAAAGATTTTGTTATTTGGTCGTTACGATATGTATATCAGAGAGATGAGAATTATGTATTGCCACCGTATCAGTTTAGATGTGATGTTTTGAATATTCAACCGCTTTGGAGACGGCGTATAAATGCCTCTATATTTTTAATTTATGATCTGCTTTTAAGTAAAATAGTGTCTAGCTCACTTAGAGATAAAATTGTATATACAAGACTGCAATATAATGAGAACCAAAGAAATTTGAGAAGTACAGAACTAATTAGAGTTAGGGCATTTTCATCGGATTACGCACATAATCAGCCGTTTTACGTAGCTTGTAGAAACTTTAACTTGATAAGAGAAATATTTTTGGAATCGGAAACAAGACACATCTTTAGGAACAATATTGTCAAATTGGAAAATGTGATATTTGTTCGGTGAAAAATTTAATTTTGAACTTTTATGTGTTATATAGAAATAAAAACAGTGAACACAATCGATATCTGCTGCTCCGAAGTCGAGAAGGCTGGTGGCTGGGTATACGATCGGGTGGTGTTTCATTGTGAACGATATTGTACAAATTTTGTGATAAATTCAGTCTGTGATCAGACGGTGAATAAATAAATAATAAAACATGTCAACGAAATAAAAAGTCAAATAGAGAAATAGAAACATTGAACCAATCAACATGATTGCGACTATAACAACTATACAGACGAGAGCTAAAAAAGATCATTATAATGCTAAAAATAGGCGTAAAGTGTCGAAAACAAACATAAACATTCGTAAATCAAGCGATTTCAATCTTTCTTTCTCTCTCTTCCTCTTTCTCTTTTCTAATTCGAATTCAAAATATAGAAAGTTCAAGCAATCGAAAATCAACAAAGTTTTTCTCGAAGACTTTTTGTCTGACATGCAGTAAATTCAAGAAACGAAACAGGGTTTGCCGTTTCTAAAATATTGCACAATTATTCATATGACGGTAGAAAAACAAACGATTTTTGATGGGATGGCGAAATAAAACAACGAGAGAAAAAAAAAGATTGTGTACTGTTGATGCGCGAGATTGCAATCGATTTCCGTTTGTGCCAACACCGAGCACGATTTTCAAATTGGAGCAAGTGCTAAATCTTGGCCAATGCATAAGAAATTGCCAGAAATGCAAACAGCAACACAGCAAAACGATCGTTTGAGATATGTGTATTTTCCAGAAGGCAAAAATATTGATCAATATTTCGTTTTTGCATCATTGAAATGCGCCTTTTCTCGCATTTTACCGTTAGAGAAATGGCTTTTCTTTAGACACAAAAACACATATGCTTTTCCATACCGACACATGCACCCACTTAAGAATCGAAACATTTCGGCCGCCTTTTCAACCGATTTTTTCCGTCTTCTTCATAAATACCACATACATAGACCATTTAACGGTGCTATAATTGAATGAAATACAACATTCCCATTGGAAATATTTCAAATTAATTTCATGCATGCATTTTCACAAAGTTTTGGATCGGTACTATTTTCAATTTCGACAAAAAAAAGAAATAAAGGGAACAAATCCAGATCGCTTACGGCCAAAACGAATGACGTTGGTGCCATGGAATAGATGTCTTATCGAATGCACGCCACTTCGATGACTTTTCGATTTGTTTTCAACGTTCGGCTCGCGATACGTTCATTTTCTATAAATATTCGATATTATGTGGATTTTTTTTGTCAAGTGACGAAGACCAAGCGAGACTTTATGACTGAGCGATATCATGCGCCATATATCGCACTTATCTAATCGCATCCAATCGTAAAAGACCACAATGTGAAATGGCGAAAATTGATGCGATTGAGTCAATTGGTTGAGCACACACAATTTCATCATGTTTGGTTCTTTTTTTTATATCGTCATCCGTCATTCAAAGTGACGACCATTGTCGCAGTCATTGTTATTCATATTTTCAGTGGCTTTATTTGCAGCTGACTGATGAATATGCTGGTCATTTGCGTTAATTAAAATTGAAAAATTGTGAGTTCGTGCCGAGTAAAATACAACACACACGACGCATAGTCATATTGTACAATCAATTGAGAACACACATGCGGTGTGAGTGTGTGCGCACACTCACTCAGGCCCACAGCTCATAAAAGCTTATTTATTTTAACTGTAAAGCGATTATACCAATTTAAGCCGTGATGATGATTGACTCATTAGAAAGAAGAAAAAAAAACAAGGAACATGCAATGGGTGAGTTTGCTCACGCGCACACGCTCAACACGCACCACTTGCCCATTGCTGTTGTACAAGTGCAAAACGCACAAAATATACATCATAATTTCAAGTTGAATTCGTGATTTATTATAGTACTTTTTTGTTCGCAAAAATTGTTTTGGTCGATTTTTTTGGGGGTCGATCTATTTTAAGATGCTCAGAAAGGTGAACAATATACAAACTACTTGCAAAAAAATGACATGTAATTAAATTTTCACTTTTCACACTGCTACCGTCCGTCGCTCGGGCAGTGAATGAAATTGAACACGACCGAAAAAGAAATATGTTACAACCAGTCGCGACATGATACAACGATGTATAAATGCCGTCTTTTTGTTTAAAGAGAGACAGAGTATAAAATTCTTCACAATTTTTTATGTAAACGAAATTTTTGCTAACCATTTTTTTTTCTCATCCAATTTCTGTGTGTAATTTATTTGCAGTGCAACGATTCAAGCCATTTCAGCCTATTTGGATGCGTTCCAGAAAATAGCAGACGCTGCCACCAACTCAAGAGGTAATTTATATCATTCATAAAATGTTATTTATTGTACGATGTGAGAGTACATAAAACAACAACAATGTTGCCGGTTACAATCAATTTGGTGTTTGTTTGCCGGATATTGTTTGCATAAAGTCGGTTGGATCTTTGGGGAAAAAAATTGTTGTTTTATTACTTTTGGCCATTGGTCCTTTTTGTTTTGCTTGTGCATTTTCCGGCTGCAAATTCAAACGAGAAACATTCATTCGCAATGGAAATAATAAAATCTAAATTGAAAAATAAAAAGAAGGAACAACGGAGCCACAATACATGAAACCATATCTTGAATGCGACAAAGAAAAGAACACAAACAAAGAACGACAACAACCGCCATATAAACAAATCCAAATAATCAGCCGAAACGAATAAATCTTCATTCAAGCCAACGAGTCGCGATTTCTTCGCAAAAAAAGTTTATGAAATTATTATTGAATCAGCCATAAAACATTTGACCAACCTAAACGCCTTCGCATTTACACACACAATCTGTGCGATGAAAAAAGTGCTCATTCTGTCTATCAATAATCACGTGGACAGATGAAGTTAGAGAAATTGCGCACACATCGATAACGAATGAGCGATAAAATAGCCATATGCCAGTTTTTTTTTGAAATTCTTTCATCGCATCAATATAAGGCCTAGGCATTTGCAAATAGTTTCGTATTTTTGTTAGTACGAGTACTAACGAGCCAAACAAATCATTATGTTTTGTTGATGTTATTTTCGATTTATTACGCATAGTTTGCCATTGCCACTTGATTTCGAAATATGAATATTGCACTCTGTACTCGATGCGATTCTTGATTGATTGTAGGTTATTTTTAAAATTTTGATTGGTCAATATTGGGAATAGGTTGACACGACATTTTGATAAGATCAAAGCCGACCAAAGCAATAAACGTTGAAAAGTTGGAATCAAAACAAAAACATTATTCACCCAAATGCAAATGTGTCAAAATCTGACTGATCATCTCAATTTAATGAAAGGGGCCAAATTCCAATTTGAAATTTATGTGAGAATCGTCAAGAGTATCAACAATTTAATCTTGTATGCCATATGATATGAATTCAGTGTCACACAGACTTTTCAGCTGAATGTAATATAACCGAAGTGAAATATCGTCAAATCTCGAATGTGTGCTAATTTGATTGGGCATGTGGGTGTTTGTGTGTGCACACGAAAATTTACACATTTTACTTTTGACGTATTTTCGATAGGATCACAAAGCGTTCAACTCATAGCAGTGAGAGTTTTCCCATTGTTTTTGCACAGTTTCGTCAACACATTTAAATATATTTATATGGAAAGGGAAAGAGAGCGAGAGAGATAGACAGAGAGGGCGAATGAGAAAGAGAAAGAGAGAAGAAAGAGACAAAATATGATGTCATGATGGAACGAATGTGTGAAAAAAATGTTATGTTGAAACCGAGAAGCCACATTTAGCATGAGAATGGGAAAATATATCCGGCATAGTTGTACGGAAAACAAGACACACCAAAAAAAACTACAAGCAAATATATACGAACTAAGCATGAAAATAGCATACACAAAATGAGCAAATCAGCTGCTGAAAGAGCCCATCGAAAGCAAGTCATTTTATTGTGCCTTTTTGTCACACATATGCCAATAACTGTCAAATGCGGATATTTATTGTTTGCCTTTCTTTTCGTCGACTTTTCCTTAGCGATGTCATTTTCCGTCTCTATTTCCTTTCGCAACAAAAACACTATATTGATAAAAATATCAAATCAATTGGTCAGTCTATCTTTTCGTTGGCCCATTCCATTGAAACCGTCCGTTGTCACAAATTCTTTCCTATCTCCGTTTCTTTCACAATAATGATTGAATTTTTGGCATTTTGAGACATATCAAAAGTTCGAAATCTTTTCAAAGTTATTGTTACCTTAAAAGGTTCAATATATGACGGGACACAATTTATAGTGCAATTCAACAAAGAATCGTTAAGTAGTTTCGAAAAATCACAAATGACCGCTTTCATAATGCTTTTTTCTTTCTTCGGAGTTTGTGTTGATTTAGCTTGAGCCAAATTTAAAATGGAAAATAGTGCTTAAAAGATGACACTGCGGCGAAAAAGGTATCATCATTCGATAAAAAAAAAAACATTTGATGAAAATAGTTTGCTTTTCTCCTAATAATGATTGAATTTGTGCCAAATGCAGGGCAATTTATGGGCTTGTGTCACATACACACATATGATTGCTTAAATCCAAGTTCACATCGACACCAAATTGAATAGCCTTGAATTGCCATTAAATCAAATGGCGTAGACGACAGAAACCAATCCCATCAAAACACAAGTTTTCGAACATAAATGTGCATATTTTTGACTCAATTCCATAAAATGTCGGAGAGATAAACTAGGTATATATACTTATACATATAATACAATTGCCTTTTGGCAATTTTGTAAGCAACCTCTCTATCTTCTCTCTTCTCTTGTGTGCATTTTCTTCTAGAATGGAATATGAGTAAAATATTTGAACACAATCAAAATACATTCCATATCAACCGTATCATATCTACTCCGTACGCAAAAATGCTATTTTAATAAATTAGTCAATGTCGTGTTGCAGTCATCATCGTCGTTTATACCAACTGGTGGTGCATTATTTTTGAATTGCATTTAACCAAAGTTACTCGCATAAGCTATATCATAATGATTCTACCGGATCTCTGCTGCATACAAAAAATACGAATGAATGAAAGAAGAAATAAAGAGGCTTACGTACGCAAGCTGACTTTTCCGCATGGAACCGAAATTTTGGGAATAAACAGAAATGATGGTCTATGTATGGTTGCAGTAACTTAAATTACCGTGAAAACTTGTGAATATTATTTTCTTATCAAAATAAATAATCATATTAAGTCTAAAGAAATTTCAATCCAAAAAATAGCCTGTTCAAAGTTTCACATCATTAAAGTACCACAAAGGCAAGTCTTTCATACAAGAATGAATTTTTTTTTCGATTTTTGTATGAAAAGTCTGTGAAAAATTGATTGCATCTTAAAACTAACATCAGATTCGGGTTTCTCGTGCCAAAAAAACCCCACTACACAAAGACAGCGTTCAAATTGAAAGAATATCATTTTAAGGCATTTTTCTCATAAGTGCCTCTTCACAGTCTAAGTTTTACATCGATCAATCAATGTCGTTGAAAATTTGACCGGATCTATTCCTCGTAACGCCCAATCATTCCGTAAAGTCAGATTTTGAATTTCATGTCTGAGCACGAAACCATCGTGTCACCAAAATGGTTGAAAAATGATCAAAAAAGTAAAATGTATGGATTGTGTCCATTCGGACCCAAAAAAATTACACCGGTCAACAGATATTGCTCAAAAACTAATCAGCACGTCTCCTAGTAGTCCCAAATCATCCTGCAAAGTCAGAATTTGAATTGAGTTTTTGGAAAAAGATTTATCGAGTTAACAAATTTTGGCAACACGCCACAGGACACAGGACACAGGTCACTGGACACAGGACACATCACACACAGCGACGCACATTAATATGCCCCAAAATCATCTCCAATCGTGTTTTCTACATTAAATATGCATAGAAAACATGTTTTGGGATGACTTTAATTTTTTGGCCTAATACAATACCTTCCCTACACTAGGTGTGCGGAAAAGTAAAAAATGAGCAGAAATGAAAATCCAAATGGAAACAAATATAATAATTCCTTATTTCATCTGATTAAATCATAAAAAATGCATTAAGCATTACGAATTGAAATGAGAGTAAAACAGAAACCTAAAAAAGAAGCACTTATCGAGTTCTATATAATGTTCTATTCTCCAGTTCGGATATACCAAGTGGTAATAGTTACGAAAATCACTTTTTGAGCATACAGACAAAGAGGAGCAGATTTATATGTGAAAATCATTATACAAGGAAACCGATTCAAAACCTGCGAATAGAGTGGGATAGCGAGAGATAGAGAGAGAGCGAAGAAAAATACCGAATATAGTGCATTTAAATGACTAATAAATGGGATAGTGAAGTTTTAGTATAAAAACAAAATGATATCATATAAAATCGTTATTTGCTGTATTCAAAATGCGATCTTTGTGATTTACTGCAAGTCGTTGTTAATTCATTGCTGCCAAGCATTCAAGCTGTATTCAAAGCGTTATATTTCTTGCTTGAATTCTCGCCCGGTTTCGGGTGCTTCACACCGACACACAAACAAAATATTATGCTCATAATTCGTGCCATAAACAATTCGCCCGGGTGCCATGGCCATAATAGAACTAAATAGTGAAGTTAAATATTGTTGACTGCGTCATGATTACTATAACAATAATATTACTTCACTTCGTAGTGCATGCGTATGCAGCGGTAAAAAAAACGAAACAACAAAGCAGCGGCAGCACAATAAACGACCCGCCAATTCTGCAAAGAAACGTGTGCAATTAATGGCAAATACGGCAATGTAATATACATTGAATGGGCCAGTGTAACACTCTGCTTTGATGAGCACGTAAATCTTCTTCTGTACACATTTTGCGTGTTTTTGCACCATACTTGATTTCTTTGACACATCTGCCGCATACGGTTCTCATTTATCATTTATTCGCTTGATCTCCCCCTTTAAAATGGCATCAAAGCGACATTATGTTGGCTCGAATGTTCAGTACTAAAAAAAGAACAAATTAAAGATATCCACAGACCCTACGTAACATGACCTTCATTACAGTGAACTTTTTCGCTGTGTAAGCCTCTGTTTTTTTCTACTCTTTTGTTTGCATGTAAAAGTCAATTTATCGTATAAAACAATAAACGAACAGGTGATCTTCATTGAAACCTCCAAAACGATGGAACGGCTGTTTTGTTGTTGTTGCTACATTTTTATCTATTCTATCGTCAATTTGATCAGCATTTGCAATTCAATTTAAAGTAAACGAACGAAAAATGACGAATAAAATGCGAGACTGATATTCGTGTTCGTAA